TGTTCAAAAATGATCAAAAAATGATCAAAATTGATCAAAAAAGATCAAAATGTAATTCTTCAGTTCCACACCCTTGTTATTGAATGTAGTTTAGCACCCTTTTGGTTTCATTTTGAAGTCTATGGATTGCAATTTTGTCTCAAATAATGAATTTAATTAAATATACTGATTATTGTGGATTAAAAGTACAAGATATACAATAAATAAGCAAGTAACTTAAAACTGGGAGGAAAACTACTTGATGGGTAAAAATGGGAGATTTTTCATCCAAAAATGGTAAAAAAGTGAAAAAGGGTAAAATTCTCTTTTTTTGTTGCCATTTTGCCTTTTTACCATTTTCCCATTTTTATTACCATTTTTCTTACTTTATGATGGGAAATTTTCCACAAATTTGCTATCAAAATTTTTACCATCCAAGTAGTTTTCCCCCTGCTTGAAACTCAGGAGATTGAAGTATCCAGTGCTTAATTTAGAGCAACATTTTGAATTTCCACTGTAATATGCTGCCAAAATTAAACATTTAAATACTCTACTTTTTTTTTAAGAAATCCATTAAAAATTAACTTCATCATTAATTATTCCAACTTAATGATCCTTGATATTCGAAAATTATGTCTCAATAAATTAATTCACATTCGACCTGCTTGCAGACTTTTACTCTCATTGAAAACAAATTACGAGCATTGCACTTATAGCGTCTCTTTTACACGCTTAAGTGACTTCTCTGCTAGATGTTTTCGCTTTATTGATGACGAGATTATATAATAAATATACATGTTCATAATATATATATATATATATAATAAAATAAAGAAAAATGACCGCATTAAACGCATCAAATAGCATGATTAAATAACTTTGTATAAATCTCATACTCGATGTATAGCATGATGCCACTCTCGTCATCTTAGCATGAAAGCAGTGAAATTAAGAAAGAATGAAGTAGAAGAGAATAAGAATAACTAGGAATATTCCTATTCAATGTGTGATTGTTGTGGATACAAATAATAAATAAAAATAAAACAGAAGAATAAATTTTATTTATGTAGATTCATCCACTTCGTCTATCCATTCCATTTATCTTAAACTTTTTTTTTGAAGCATTCTTAATTCTATGCTGCTTGAACTCTCTCTTCTAGAAATAATTTATTCTCAATTCCCATTCATTTCCATCATCGTCGTGATAGCTTACTTTACTTTACATTTTTATGATGAGGATGATTGTAAAGTGGAGAAGTTAACAAAAGAAGGAAGAAAACAATTTCGCACGATGCCTTTGGAGTGATTTTAGGGGGTTTCTTCTAGAATGTCTCTGGTTGTGGATTGTACAAGGCAAGGTCTTGTCAATTTCTGGATTAGAACTGATCAGCCTTTTAGACTAGTCTAGAAATATTATTCAGGGGAGGAGGGATTGGACATAACACTTATCTTTGAGGAATTTGGTATGGAGCTACGTTTACTAGATACGCCTCTAAGGTTAGAGAAGTTCATCTAAAGGCTCTTGTACACATTGTATTGGTTAAAATGGACGAATAAGAAGAGTTGGGATCAATTTTGACTAGATTTTCATTCAGCATGCGTTAAGCACAGGTTTGTAAGACCAGCTTTACATCAGTATTGTTCAAAGACAAGCACGAGTTAAATTCCTCAGCAAATCTGCCAAAAATCTTTAAATTTCATTTGATTTTCCCACAAAAACGAATTCCAAAGCCCAGCCAACAATTGACCACAAGAAACATGACAAAATCATTTCAATGAAAATCAAACGTGATATTTTATTTGCAATAGACAATGATCTCATCATGACTTGAAAGGTCTTCAATCTTGTTCTTCTCTCGCACTTTTACTATCTCAACGTGACGTGTTATATGAGCAGAAAACCTTATTCTATATTGCGAATTCTGCCTTGTTTTTTTTTTTTTGTTTCTTGTCTGTACAAAAGAAATGTATAAATGGAAAAAAAGTAGCTTTAATGGCTTGTTGGTGTTATGAAAGAGGTAAAAAGAAGATAGAACCTGTTTTCGTGTTATGTATTGTGGCTAGTTATTTCTTTTGTTATAAAAAAATAAATGAAAATATTTTTGTGAATTTAATTGCTATATTGTGGTATGAAAAAAACAGGCACTCAGCTGCTCACCGACAAGGGCATGTGCTTGCGAATACTTTAGGGATTAACAATTGTTACAAGTTTATGATAATTAATAAATTTTTTATTAAGACTGGGAATTCTTCTAAAAAAATAAATTTATGAAGTGCGACTTAATTTATGGAATTCCTGGCGTGAAGTACAATGACAATGAAATTTTTTTTAATTATGCTGACGATTTCCTCAAAAAAAGTATCAATGACGAAGATGATTTTATAATTTTAATTAAACAATAATTCATAATCATAACTTAATTAAGCAGCATTAATTAAAAGCTTGTAAATGCGTTTCGTAAGCCACCAATGAAGCATGTTAAGTAACTCTCGATCTTATGTCTGCGCATCATTGAGCAAAAACGAGCGTGAAATCGAATTTTTTATCGAAAGTCGATTTTTGGACTTCCTCAAAAAAATAATAATTAATTGGATGATATTGATAGCATTGCTTGAATCTAGGACAGACATGCAGGCTCCTCATAAATATTTTCAATAATACAGCAATGACAAAAAGGAGTACGAAGATCAAGTCCATAAAAATGTGAAATTGCAGTCACTGCAAACTGTAAATAACCGGTTGATATGCAAGCTCTGATATTATACCTCATATATTGGACATGAACGAGGAAGAATTTCTCATCATTTTGGACATACGGCTTTCTTTCTTCTTCCATAACTATATTTTTGTGTTTCACGAGTTGGAATTGGAAAGGAATGTCAGATATATTGAAAATATATAAACGATTACGATATTGCCTTTTGTTTCGGCTGCTTGATGCCGCTGCCCACGCAAAATGAATCTTAAATGCTAAAAGAAAAATTAATTTTGAATCGACATGAAAACTGCGTGATTCTCATTTCAATGGAATTGCTAAAATGAGGAGATCGAATAATGATTCAGGCAATGAGAGTTATTGTTCTGTGGGAAAATTTAATTAGTAATTTAGAGAGGAGCTTACTATAATGGGGAATTTCATATTGAAGTGATTTGTTGGTTTGGGGAATCGATGAGATTTGAGTCTGAGGTGTGTTGTAGTCTTTGGATTTGGGTTTTTTCTAAGGCAATATTGCCAGCTTATTGAGGATGATTTGTGTGAACTGAATAAAGAATGTCAAGAAGCTAAACACAGTGCCAGAAGTCAAGTCCTTAAAAAATCTAGTTTTATAAAATTTGGAAATTTTTTTGATGTTGAGTTGATAATTTTTGTGATACTGGAACCAAAAATCCTTAATCGATAAGCTAAATCCAATTAAGACATGTTCGACAATACGTTTGATATATCCAAGCTGGTCATTGTGTAACTCAAATTGACAATTCAATTTAAATCATCAAATTCAATGAAATCTATAAAATTAATATCCCAATTACCAAGAAACTATCGCCAATTCCAATAAAACTGATGTAATTTTTCCCCGAAGGTTTTAAACTTGTTCTTTAATAGAGATTCAGCTACAATGTTAAGTTTATAGTTTTCAATTCAATTTAAAATAAACAATCTTGTTCCAAACATTTGTCACTAGAGTTTGAAGGTTTTACTTGAGGTTTTGTGTGGATTAATTTCACTAAGAATTGATCATACTTTCCTGATTACTGCATCTAAGCCACAATATTTAATAGCAGTTAATTCAATTTAGATCATGAATGTAGTAATGTCAGGCATGATCTTGTGGCTTGTTAAGTCATCGATTGTAAAATAAATAAAAATCAAGTCAAAAGCCTGCAATTTTGCTGCGTTGAATTATTGTAATAAAGAAGCAGCTTCACGACTATGATTATGGCAATGAAAAGGTGTCGACAGCTTATGATGAAGACTACATTAAACTGCCTTAAGCTGAATATTTTTGTAGCACGTGGAAATTATGAAGCATGAGCGGCTTAAAGTCAACATGAAAGTAAAAATTATTCTTAACGTCTTTCATTATAGATAAAAAAAAATGATTTGCGAATCATGGCTTAGTCGTAGCACTGATACACATTAAGAGTTCAAAACCGACTCCAAATAATCATTTAGAATTGCTAATTTTACGCGCAAATAGGCGTTTCCAATTTAATTACAGTTAGATGATGAGTTGCAAAAACATATACCTTGATGACTTGCATATGAGTAGGTTAAAGAATCCAATTGCAAAGGCACGAAATCGATGCATAATAAAGATTTTAAGAATGATCTCATCAATTCTTTTTACGACTTGAATAAAATTCAATACATTGAAGCTTGCCATCATGTGGATGAGGCCTCGGTTCCATTTATGATATTTTCCACATAGAAATCTCATCACAGGCAGAGATAGATCAAGCGGCAATCAACCTTGCGAACTTAGAGATTATCGGTCAAATGATTTTACTGTTATGGGATGTTTGGAAGTTACGTGATGCTTAGATTTGCCATTTTAGACACTTTTCATCAGTCTGAACCTTAAACATAGTTAAAACTTATGCTGAGCTATTTAATGGTGTCTGATGCTGAGCCATAAATGCTGTACATCACATCCAAATAATCCCCAGACTAAGCCATTAGGAATCAAGAAAGTCTTAAATTTCATCGGATCCACGATGAGAAATTACCAATGCAAAATTAAATTGTCTCAGTTTTCTCTTCTGGGAAGTGCAATGCACGCAAAAAAAAGGCTAAAAATGCCATCAGTTTAATGAGAGAAAGAACTTTCGCATGATTGAATTTCTCATTACCGAAAATACATTTTATTATTATTTTGTTGTCGGTTCCCTTATCACAAAAGCGTGGAAAAGTAAAACTTTCTGAAAATATGCATAGGCGATGGACATATCAGTTCAATTAGTCTTTACTTTCTTTCCTTGTCAATTTATGTACATGTCTTTCCATCTTTTCTTATTTCAGATAGAGTAAGAGTGACGAGCAGACGGTAATTTTTTTAAAAAAAAAGATTTCGTGGACGTGCGTGTATACTACGCGATAGTAGTTAGTAGTTGTAAGTAGATAGAGATGGAAGGTAGCATGGATACAGACCATAAAGATTACGCTTTTAAGAATGAAATTTCACTATCAATTGGTGATGACAGTATAGATTCCTCAGCAATATCAACACCATCGACAGTTACACCACAAGCTGCACCAACACCATCGCCAAGACAAAATTCTACGGAAGACACAAAGCCATTAACAGCAGATATGGCTGATGAGAAGAAACCAGAGGGAATTGATAATAAGGCATTTGAAGCCACAGAAAAACCGCCACTATCATCATTTGGCAATGGTCATAGTAATGGATTGAATGAGACTGCAAATGGTAATGGCACGAAAAATGGTCAAATGAGTGACAAGAAATTAGCAGGTAAGGTTCCTTCACCTAAAGCCCCACGTGGATACATAAATTAACACTTCCTTATCATTATCTCTCCACAGAAGCTGTTAATTTAGAATTAATTAACATTAATAGTAATAATAACAACAATATGAAAAAGCCAACAACAACGAATGGCAAGCAGAGTAGTGATCTTCCAATGAAAAAGGACAGCGATGTTGAGATGGGTCGAAAGGATGATTCATATGATGAATATTTCGTTCCCGTTAACGAGCACAGAAAATATATGAGGTATGTCTGTTATTTATATCCACAATCCATCTGAATTATTAATCGCATTTTCGTAGCTTCTTATTTATGGCCTCTCTTACTATCTTACTTATCTTTCGCACTCAGTACAAATATTTACTCAATAACTGCTTATTGCAAAAGATATACTTACTTATTTTTGGATCTTAATAATCCCAACAAACAAAAAACTGTACATAAAACCCTTTTTGTAGCACTGCACGAAAGCTTCACGGCGTAGACTCGAATGGATTGTCAATTGATACTCCTGAGTGTGGCACTGTTAATTATTATGACTGGATCAGTGTTGTTTCGAGGTATCTCTCTACTTCTTTATTTCCCTTTAATTGCTGCTTATTTTCATATATTTTCGAGCGATACATCTTGTGAATGGCAACCATGTGGCTGTCATTTGAAAATGTTGTATTGTTTGGATCTCATTCTTTTTGGTTTTGTTGTTCTATGTTGTATTTTATAGCCCGAGCAGGACATGATTGTGATTTAGAATTTTCTCAACCTTAATGTTGCTTTATTGGTGATTCTTTTGAGTATCCCGCTCAATTCAATAAGTTACTCGAAAAGATTGATGAAAATTCCACTTTTACAACATGTGCAGCTCGGGCTTTTTAGGTTAAAATTTTTTTTTTGCATTTACAGAACTTTAATTGTATTAATTAACCCTCATTCTTTGTTCTTAATATTGTATGGCATGAAGTAGAGAAAAACCTCGCCTTGCTTTAGACTAAATATTTTTGTGTTGTGCTTATTGAATGTCGCTTATACGTTATGGTTGTTTTGCATGCTTATATTCTTAGTAAAGCCAAAGAAGGATTTACATAGCTGTTTCTATAAGATGAAGTTTTGATTGCTCATACGAAGTTTCAAGTATTTTTGCACATATTAAGCAATTACTTGAGAATTGCACGTCTGAATCACTTGAATGGTGACTAAGAATGTAAATAATTGATTCTTGAGATGCAGAAGTTCCGTTTCAGTGGAATTCTAGTGTTGATTGCTGTTTGACGTGAGATTTGTAATACAAATATTATTCTAGAGCTCATTCATGCATTGCTCGGGACTTAAAGAAGCTTTATGATATTTTCTCTCGATTGTCAAGTTCCTGGACATTTCTTCTGTACCGTCTGTACCCTTTCTCAAAATAAACTAAAGCTCTTTAAATCATCCCAGACTAATGCAATCCACAGAAAGAATTCTGCATTATTTTCTTCCTCACTTCAAGTAGTCACTAATGAACTTGAATTATGAACGGATTCCCAGGCATTTGCATAGATCAGACATACTTTCTTGACTACAATAAAGTTCGTATGAGCATAAAAGCATGCATTGATTACTTTATAAAAAAAATTAAGTTAATTCGTGCAATAATTTATGCATTATTATCATTTTTTAACCATCTCTGTTGCCTTTTATTCATCCACAGAGGTGAGAAATTATTTATAACGAAGGACAAACGGGCCGAGACGAGAAGAAATAAGTTGTGCTGGTTATTGTGCATTGGTATTGTTGCAGCTGTGATTATTTTGGGTATTTGTGCAGCATGTAAGTTTTTAAAAAACGTTTTCTCATTTATATCATGTAATTGTGCCTACATATCAGGAGTACAATGTAGCATATTTCATGATGAATACTAGTTCTTAACTTTATCTAATTGCTTATTCATAGCCGGAGTATTCAGCTCGTCTGATTCGCCTGTTGAAGCAAGACAATTTGGTGATAAAATAAATAATACGGAACTTCATGGAGCTGGCATTGGTGGAATTCCTTCCGAAAAGCAACCGGAGACAACAATGGGTACAACAACAGTTTCATCGACCACTACAACCACTGAATTTTCAACACAAGATCCATTTTTAGATAGCATAGTCTCGTCATCTGTTGCACCTGTTGATGAAGAAATATCTTATGGTGAGAATATGTTATAATTGTAACCTTGCACGCCTCATTATGTGCTGCAATTCACATCAACTTCCCACATAAAAACAATTAATATTTTCATGCTGTAATGCTAATGATGATTGTTACATTTCATTGTTCTGTTTCTTTAGTTCCTAATTCATTGGAAGGCCAAATAACATTATCAAATGCTGAATTTTCACCGGAATACAATGATGAGAGATCACCTGTTTACAAGAAATTGATTAAAGACTTGGAGAATGAAATCAAGAATGCATTATCACAAAATGGCAATGAGGAATTCTTTGTAAAAATCATTGGATTGAAGTAAGTCGCAAAATTGAGTCGTAATTTTTAATAAATTACAATATTTGAATTTTAATTACAGATCTGGATCAGTTGTTGTTGATTATCGTGTCAGTTGGATGCCACGTGATTCACAGTTAACTCCAGAAGAAATGATGCAACGTGTTAAGAACTTCCTTCATGCACACAATCATGAATTTATGTCTCGTTATCATGTTAATGAAAATACATTAAGAACAGCACGAGTGCCTGATCGATGTGTATCATCAGAAAGAAATGGATGTGATTTTGATTGTGAATTTAATTCTGCTATTGTCGATTTCAAGTGTCTTTGTCCATCTGATAGAGTTTGGGATGATGACTGGAAGGAATGTATCGGTAAGTTTAAAACTTCTTGATTTGAAAGCTTTAGCTGATGCATTTTGTATTTATTTATCTCAGATGAAAAAACAGACTCAGTCTACACTTCCGACGCTGTAAGTGAACCCTCTTCTGAACCAGCAAGCGAGCCTGCATCAGAACCAACTAGTGAACCAGCAAGCGAGCCAGCTAGTGAACCTACCTCAGAGCCTGCAAGTGAACCAAGTTCTGAACCTTCTAGTGAACCAAGTTCTGAACCTTCTAGTGAACCAAAATCTGAACCAGAACCTACTAGCGAACCAAAATCAGAGCCTGCAAGCGAACCAAGTTCCGAGCCAGCTAATGAACCAGCCAGCGAGCCAAAATCCGAACCAGAACCTACAAGTGAACCAAAATCAGAGCCTACTTCCGAAGCAACAAGTGAGCCTATTTCCGAACCAACAAGTGAGCCTGTCTCCGAACCAACAAGCGAGCCTGCTTCAGAGCCTAATAGCGAACCAAGTTCTGAACCATCAAGTGAGCCTAAGTCTGAACCAGAGCTATCAATTGAGTCCAAGTCTGAACCAGAACCATCAAGTGAGCCAAAATCAGAACCAGAGCCATCAAGCGAACCAAAATCCGAACCAGAGTCATCAATTGAGTCCAAGTCTGAACCAGAACCAACAAGTGAGCCCAAGTCAGAACCAGAGCCATCAAGCGAACCGAAATCCGAACATACAAGTGAACCTGCTTCAGAACCAACAAGCGAGCCAGCTAGTGAACCAACAAGTGAGCCAGCTAGTGAACCTACAAGCGAACCAGCCTCAGAGCCATCAAGTGAACCCACATCAGAACCAAAGAATGAAACAGAAGTAGAATTAGAAAAGTCAAAAGTTTATCTTGGAGAAAAGAAATCAAAAGTACTAGACGAAGAAGAACACCAGGAAGAATCAACTAAATCAAACAAACCAGTAACTGAAGATATCGAGGATATTCCAAGACCAACAGAAAGCTTTGTTTCAGCCTTTCATGGAAGAAATCAAGGCGGTGTAAATATTTTTGACATGAACTCGACAGTACAAGATGCCGTTAATGCTACAACAACAACTATATACTCCACGACAAGTCCAATTAATTTATGGCCAACAGAAAATATGCACGAGTCACATGACATGTCACCATTCTTGCCAGAGACTGAAAATTCACAACATAAGACTGAACAAAAGAGTTATTCAGTGACTGAAAATGTATCAGAAGGTGATAATGCGCCACATGATCAATCGCCATTCCTTCCAGAGTCTGAAAACAAGCACATCTTAGGTGGATCACAAACAGCAGAGGAATCTGATGAAACGTTAAAGAAAAATGTGACTGAAAAAACAGAAGACTCAAAAATCATCAATATTGTTCCAATTCGTCTAGAGACAACCACTTCAACGGTATCTAATGAGTCATTAACAAAGGAAGATGAGGAAACAACCACAGAAGAACAAAAGTCAACTGAAACAGCTGTAAAATTAGATGAGAATGTAGCATCACCTATTCCTGAAAGTTCAACAGCATCACAAGTACCAACTGAGTCAACAAGTACGACAACAGAAGAATCTAAGAATGAAGACATAGCAAGGCCAAAAAGTGACGAAGACGAAGCAGTTCCAAAAGAGGAAGAGAATGACGAAAACGAAAATATTTTCGGTGAAGAAGTAGAAAATGAAAATGAGGAAGAGGTAAAGGTATCAGCAGAAAGTACAACCGCAGCTCATGTTGAAAACATCACCGAAACCGAAAAAATTGATGTCCCAGCACACACAGAACCAACAGTTATAAAAGAGTCTTCAGAATCACCAGCACCAACAAGTGAAACTATTCAAGAAACAACTTTCGGTGAAAAATCAGAAGTTCCATCATCAATTGTTGAAGTTAATGTAACAAAAGTTGAATCATCATCTGCATTGTTTGAAGTTCCAACATCATCCACAACAGAATCAGAAAAAGTACAAGAGATATCATCGACTACTGAAGAAATTTTGAACACAAAAGATGAGACTTCAACTACAGAACCTCAAGCATCGTCCACAACAGAAGCTCCTTTATCAACAACAGAAGAAGTAAAATCAATCATAACTGAAGAATCAACATCAGAAAAACCACAAACCACAACAACTCCATTGGAAGTATCAACAAGCGTAAAACAAGTCGATGAGGGTGCTTTGGCTAGATCAAAGATTAAGTTGACTGACTTTGCTCATCCTGAAGATGATTTACAGGAAAATGATAATTTACTTGAAGTCCTTCCATTAAAATCTAAAAATATTGAGTTGGCAACAACAACAGAAGCAAGCTTACAACAAACTAGAGAAAATGAAGTTACAGAAAAGACAGAAACTACCGGTAATTTTTTAGAACAAACGACGTTTCCTTCGGTTAAGCCTGAATCGGACGAAGCGTCGTTAAACTCTCGTAATGCAAAGGAAATATCCGATTTTGATGAGGACAAGCAAACAATTAAGGATGAAGTTAAGGAAGCAATTGAAAAATTATTTAAACCTGGATTCCTTGAAACTGTTGATTCATGTCCTGAAGATAAATTCAAGTGTGCCTACTCAAATGAATGCATCTCAAAATTAAAGGTTTGTGATGGTAAAGCTCAATGTGCTGATCATTCTGATGAATGGAACTGTAAATTTTTGACAAACAACACAAATATCTTACAAGTCAATTATCAAGACAAGATCCTTAAAGTATGTGGAACTGGATGGACAAGAGAATTATCAGATAAGGTTTGTCAACAACATGGATTCGCAGGTGCTATTGACTGGAAGAATAATGCAAATTCAGATAGCAGAGATGAAAAATATCTTGTTGCACAAGACATGTCATTAAATGATTTTGAATTCTCCGAGTCATGTGATGATGGCGTAGTTGAGATTGAATGTCAAGAATATGGTAAGTTCTGCTAATTTAAATATCCAATGGAAACCAATTAACACATTCTATTAATATAGTTTGCGGATCAAATAAAACAAATCGTGATGAAGGTGAATTTTCTGGACTCTCGCTTGTTATCAACAAAGACTCAACACGACGATGCAGTGCCAACATCATTTCACCACTCTGGGCTATAACTAGTGCTGCATGTATCAATCAACCTAATGAAGATTGGGTTTTGATTGCTGGAAATTCAGAATTAAATATGAGTAAGATCAGCAAGGATAGTGTCATCAGTTTAGTCAATGAAGTCGTCACATATCCAGGCGTAAGTAGCTACTTATTTTGGCAATGCCATCAATAACTCATACTTAAATATTCTTTTCAGAATGAATATGCACTTTTACATTTAAAACAAGTCTTGAGATTCAGTGACAACGTATATTCAGTGTGTCTTAGACAGCAGCCTTTCCAAGAAAGTAAAGAATGTCTCACAACTGGATGGTTAACAAAGCAAGGTAAGAAGAAATTCATTGACGTCATTTGATGACTTTCAACAAACACATTTTATTTTTTTTGCAGACAATTCTCTCGAAAAATACGAAAAGATAGTGTCAGTTCAAGGTAATTGCACATCAAGAACCGATGAACTTTGTGTCTCACCAAAGAGCGAAACGAGCGGTGAATGTTATGTAAGTGATTAGTCTTAATTACTCACTCGCTATATAAAGATTAATTAATTTTAATTATATACTTTTAGAATGATAGAGGAGCAGCACTTTATTGCTATTCATATGATTATAAGAGATGGCTACTGAACGGAATCCAAACACAAGAGAAAGATTGTGGCGAGAAGCCAGAAGTTTTCACAAGCCTTACAAAAGAAACAGTCGAGTGGATCAAAAACACGGTTGGAAATGACCGAATGTTTCTTTAACTACTCAAACGCAACATAACAAAGATTTTTCAGTAAAATGATCAGAAGATGTCTTTCCTTTCTATTTCGATAGAGTTTAAAGGCCTTCATAGCTAGTCACAAATTATTATTTTGTGCCAATATCAATTTTTAAAAAAGAGAAAAAAATAATGATGAAATTACTATTGAGTTATGACTCAATTTATCATGGCATTTAATGTCATAAGAATGTTAAAACTTTCGAAAAATTCTAAAAATTTGAGGTTATGCGGAATATTTTAAGCCAAGGCGTGGAAACTCAGAATTAATCCTGAAAAATCCTAAAAAATCCCTGAAGCAATAAACATGGATTTTTGGGATAATCCAGGATTAATCCTGAGTTTCCACGCCTTGTTTTAAGCAGAGATTGAAGTTGACTCAAATTTTGATAAAGTCAAATCTTTAAAGTTTGATTCAACTTTGGGCTCTGGTTTTAAGGAAATGTTTGAGTATGTACGAGAACTCAGTCCACTTTGTGGTTTTCAAATGGCTGACGAGTAAGTAGATACCCTTAAGATCCCTTAAGTCGATCTGATAAGAAGCCTTTTCATCAGAATCTCAATTTCATTGAATTGCTTCTCAAACCTCAAATGACATAAGCATTTAATAACAGCAAAGTTGAGCTGATAAAGCCTTAAATAGCACCATAAGCTTTTAAAATTGAGATACCATTTGAAAAAAAACTGGCTCCTTGACATTTCCTTAAATATCCAGCATAAACTCCAATCTTTTAAAAGAAAACAAATATTAAATTTGGATCAAAAAGAAACTCAAGAAAAAAAACAATTCAGAATGAAAAAAATTCCACCCTTGACTTTTAAGATTAAGTATAAAGTTCGTCGTGTATTTAAATAAATTTTTCTCGTATTAGGTATATTATTGATGAGTGACATCAGAGAAAGAACTCATTAATTTGTTAGGTTTTGATGAGATCAAGTACTTATTACTATTTTGCCATTGTTAAAGTCATTCCTTTACATGCTTCTTTTTTGGAACTATCACTAAAAAGTCAATAATCGATAAAAAAAAGAACTTTGAAGAGCAGCAACACTTTCCACATTAGTATTCATCACAGAGCGTATTGAACTGCATTTTATTAATAAGTAATTGATCTCCAAGTATATGAAAATGATTAAATTAATGTAGTAGTGTTAGTAGATTAGAACTTATTAGGTATCGTTAAGAAATGAGTGTTTTCAATAGAATATCTGTGGTTTGTTTAATATAAATATCAAGTATTTAAGTAACATTTATATCAGTAAACCTCCAATTCAGTAATACATTCCGATTAAATAAGTAAGAATCTTAAAATTTAAATTGCAAAATAATTTTCCGTAATCAGTTTTTAAATCAAATTTTAATGGATTAATTTCAGACGTTTATGTTACCAAATGATGGGAAAATTATGCAATTATGGGGAGGTATCTAATATTAGTAATGAATAAAGAAGAATAGTTTCTGTAAATAATTTTATTTTAAACTTTTATCATCATTTCCCGAGTGACACATTATGGTATTGGCAATTTTATGGTTGCTTCAAAGTTACTTTAAATGATTTGACGTGGAATCTGATACTCATCACTTATCAACAAAGAATTAAAACTACGCGTAAGATGAGACTAATTATCAATCTCAAGAGCCGGTTTATTAAGTTTGTCCTTGCCATATACTATAGTATGGCTAGAATTCACTTAAGGATATACCCAAGAAACATACCTCATACCTTGATCTTTGTGAATCAGAATATGTCACCAATAAAATCGCAATTGCCATAATCTATCCCTCGGATTTACTTATTGTTGTAAATAATTATCAAGTTTGCCGATTTGAAATCAATAAGAACTTATTGTCATTAAAAAATCTATGTCTAATGTACTTATAAAGCAAAATAAAAATTTTTGGTAAAAATAAAAATTTTATTTCATATAAGGTGCGCGCAGTTCGTTTAGACGCACTTAATTTTTTTCAAATTTTCCTTTAATAAACACTATTAAGACAAAAACTATTTTATGTGTTTATAGCTATGACCAATTAGGTTATAAATATAATAAAAGTACCTGACTAAATGCTTTGCTTAAGTAATTAAAATAATTTTTTCAAAAATTACAACAACAAAGTGCGCAGTTCGTTTAGACGCACTTTGAAAAATCTAAAATTTTGTCTTATTTACGTTTCGTAGAAAACTTAATCGTTTCTAATATTAATCTATCAACAAAAACGAGTAATTACTGAGGGTTTTAGAATTTTCCATCAAGTTTTTCCAGAGATTTTCCTTCATTAAAGTTTTCATGTTGCAAAAATTTTGATAAATTATTTATCCAATAATTTTGCGTTAAATTATTATTCTTTTAACTGATTTCCATAGATAATTGTCCATAATATTAGAAAATTAACAGATATTTAAGCTTTCTTATAAGTATAAGGCGAAAATATGTGAAAAATATAATTATGGTGAAAAATTTCCACCACTCTCATAGATTAATCAACAAATTTTGACAAAACTGTAGATACCATAATAAATTTGAATAGACCAGCTTATTTATCGTATTAAACTTAGTTAAAAACAGAAAACTGCACAGCTCTATGGCTAATGGAACTTGAAAATTTTACTGATAAATTAAGTTGTGGTGAAAAAATTTCACCATAGAAAAATAAAATTTTAAAAAACGTTGTTTTAGGCAATTGTTTCATTTAAATTAGGTTGTAAAAGTGTTTCTGTCTCAAAATTAATCAATTTAAAACATGAATTAAAACCTTAGACATAGTTTTTTTAAAATTTTATTTTTCTATGGTGAATTTTTTCACCACAACTTAATTTTTCAGTAAAATTTTCAAGTTCCATTAGCCATAGAGCTGTGCAGTTTTCTGTTTTTAACTAAGTTTAATACGATAAATAAGCTGGTCTATTCAAATTTATTATGGTATCTACAGTTTTGTCAAAATTTGTTGATTAATCTATGAGAGTGGTGGAAATTTTTCACCATAATTATATTTTTCACATATTTTCGCCTTATACTTATAAGAAAGCTTAAATATCTGTTAATTTTCTAATATTATGGACAATTATCTATGGAAATCAGTTAAAAGAATAATAATTTAACGCAAAATTATTGGATAAATAATTTATCAAAATTTTTGCAACATGAAAACTTTAATGAAGGAAAATCTCTGGAAAAACTTGATGGAAAATTCTAAAACCCTCAGTAATTACTCGTTTTTGTTGATAGATTAATATTAGAAACGATTAAGTTTTCTACGAAACGTAAATAAGACAAAATTTTAGATTTTTCAAAGTGCGTCTAAACGAACTGCGCACTTTGTTGTTGTAATTTTTGAAAAAATTATTTTAATTACTTAAGCAAAGCATTTAGTCAGGTACTTTTATTATATTTATAACCTAATTGGTCATAGCTATAAACACATAAAATAGTTTTTGTCTTAATAGTGTTTATTAAAGGAAAATTTGAAAAAAATTAAGTGCGTCTAAACGAACTGCGCGCACCTTATTAACAATTATCTTTTTGGCTATCAGCATGCACTTACAGCTTAAACATAAATTCATTTACCAGACTGAGCATTTATCATTTGGATTCATAATTCTTCCTGATGCACAATTGAAATCTTTGGCGAATTCTGGGCGGTTCTTCATTGGACCTAAAACTCTAAACTGTCCTGGACTGTGGACCTAATAAATTAAATTGATAGATTAGACTTTAGGGTAGGAATAAGAATTTTAAAAACTTACTCCTGTCAATACTCTATTTCTCATTGCTTGTTCTCTTTGGACATTACACCATACTTGAGCTGCTGAAACCCAGAATAGCTGATTTTGTGTCAAATCAATACCAGGCAAGAGTTTCTCCTCTCCATGCTCTTTAACCCAGTTTTGATAGCCAATGTAGGATTCTTTGATTCCACCTTATGGAAATGCACCAATTATTTACTGTATTTAAGTACTTTAAGGTGCCACTTACCATTGTCTGCGATGTTTTCTCCTTGTGTATTAACTCCATTAAGTGGTAAATTTGTAAGTGGTTCTGTGTAACCTCCATATTGATTGATAATACATTGAGCACGTTGATCAAATTTGCCTCTTGTTTCTTCATCCCACCAGTTTGCAAGATTTCCAACTTCATCATATCTAGATCCTTGGTCATCAAATCCATGAGTAATCTGCAAGGAGTTTATGATAAATAACACATCTAAATTACATCAAATAATTTCATACCTCATGTCCAATAACGAATCCAATTCCACCATAATTCATGTACTCTGGTCTATCAGGATTAAAGAATGCACCTTGTAAGATGCCAGCTGGAAATTTAATGATGTTTTCTTGAGGTGAATAGTATGCATTTACAATAGCTGGTGTAACATGTGTAGTCCAGTCTTCTCTGTCAACCATTTGACGTAGTTTCTTCAGGTTGAACATTGTTGCTGCTGATCCTAGCTTCAGAATTGTTGCATGGAAATTAATAGAGTCGATTTCAACATTTTCGTGTAATTTAGCGTAGTATTGAATAAGTGCAGTATCGTTTAAGAGTTCATCTGCGTATGCCATTTGTTCTCCCATCTTATCAGCCTTCTTATGTGCAGCTGTCTTAGTTGCTTCGTCCATCCAGTCAATTTCATTAACAATACCTTTAAATGCAGCTTTAATTTGCTTAATCATCTCAAGAACTTTTGCCTTTGCCTTCTCATCGAAATATCTGCGGACATAAAGTGAACCAACAGCATGTGGATAGTAACTGAGTGTAATGTCTGAACATTGAAGACCACGAGGATCAGCAACTTCCTTTCCTGTTGTGATTCTATTGTATTCTTGATGACGATCTCTAAATACTTTTGAAAGTGATGAAGCACTGCTTAATGCGACTCTCCACATCAAGTAGTTGGCAATTGTTTCTTTTGGTGTTGCATCTAAAAGTGGGAATAATTTTTCAAAGAACGTTGGAACTGCGTTTATGATGACATCAGTGCTTGTAAATTGAGTGTCTGCTGGCATAAGACTATTGAGGTATGTGAGCCAATTGAGTTGTGGATACTTTGTCTGCAATTCTGCAATAGTCGTTGGATTGTACAATTTGTTTGCGTCTCTTCGTTCTTCGCGGGTCAATGATATCTGTTAATTTGTATTGTAATTGTAAGGTTACAGCTTTTTGTAATTACATGCTTTAATTATTGAGGAATGTTAAATATTTTCCCAGTTACTTACATTTGCCAAACTCCATTCGAAATCTAAAGCTTGTGCCATTTTTTCTGCAAGGTCTGGACGAGATGCACCAAAAAGTGTTGCAAGATCAACTTGGTAATTTCTAAAATGGAATTAAATTGTATGAACTGAATCTTTGATAGGTCATCGAGCTTCAGACTTAAAGTCTATTAATAGCATCAATTTTAAATAGCCTAATCAATGGAGTGTGCTTGAACAATAACAAATAACTCTACACGTTTTTATCTTCCAATAAGTTGATTGAAATTTCATAAAGTCACGATCATTGATGTGCCTCATAAATCAACATTACTAATCGATTTGAACTTGATTAAATTAAATTTCTCATGATTGTCTACACTTTTAATGCATTTTAATTGGCTAGTGATTGTCATTTTTAAGGATTTATTTTAAACAGGCTTAAAATTGATGACTAAGTTCAATTCTAATTTTTTTCCATGCTCATGAGTGCATCACATAGTGCTTTGTCATTCACACAATTCTACTTATTTGTTTCCAATGGTTCAATCACTTCTACAGTAATCAGTAGCTTAATAATTTAATAACAAAAATATTTAATGACCAATAAATTTATCAATTACCAAATTTACACGAGGTGTTCAAAATTCGATAAGATAAGCTAACTTACTTGTATGCCAAATAGAATTTATCTTCTTCCTTCTTAATGATGTATTCATAGCTTAATCCCAAGCCTGTTTGATCGATCTATAATTATTTTATCAATAAGTAAACAAGAGAGTCAATCAATATTTGATGGATTGGGAGCTGATAAGAAACTATAAGTACCCGAGCATTGCGAATCGATGAATTTCGATAATCAGTCGTTACACTGAAGCTAAAGAGTTGACTGACGGCATAGCCATGTGCTCGGAATTTTGCAATTGTGTCTTCCCATTTCCACGTAGTGTTACTCCAGGTTGTAGATAAAACTGGCCAGCCACCCATTTCTGTGAACTTATCTTGCATTTGTGATGATCCAACAGTCTCAATAGCATCAAGATTTAAGCATGCCTGATTGAGAAGTTTCAAGTCTTTAAATGGCTTAGCTTCATTGACCTCAGCTGGTGTATTGATGAGAAGTCTCAAGTGATCTCTCATTTCATCCTCAATTTCACTAAACGCTGTCAATCCAGTCTTGTCATCTGGAATAATTCTCTCATCCAAAAACCGTCCACAAGCATATTCATAGAAGTCATCACATCTAATTGAAGAACATGTGATTATTTTAAAGTAAATTAAATGTTTGAACAAACTTACGGATCAGCTTTTGGTTTCATATTTCTCATCAGCATGTGTGATGTTGCTATGCATCCTTCACTTACGCAAACATTGGTTGTATTTTTGTTATGGTCTCCATCGTCAAATAACTATGCGATTTATGTAAAGAGAATAGAAAGTTATTATTAGACTTTCAAATGAAGCCTGCAGAGGTGATGTGTCTGGTTTATGACAATGGTGTTGCTCCAATCGGCTGTATTCGAGGAGTAACTGCCATTATGAAAACACATAAGATGACCAATCTATCTATGATCATAGGCTCACTACATAGCTTTAATTATCTAGTGCTGCAATTAAGACTAATCATTGCATTAGTCAGATGTTCTCAACCTTTTATAAGTGAGACATATTAATCCACTTCCATAAATTTCGCGAC